TAACATAGATAGTTAATCCACAATAACAGGAGAGAAAGTAAAATATATGGGCAAAAATGCAGGTACAATGTAGGATGTGGTTGTGGGAGCTTGTGAAGTTCTCTACTGCTGTAATGTTTTCATGAAATACTAAGCAAGATTATCATCTGATAGTGGGTTAGAGGATTGCTGTTCCTAGAACAGGAGTAAGTATGAAATAGTGATCGAAGAGAGTGGAAGAAGGAATGGATTAAGTAAATATATATTTAATACTAGGACACATTAAGAGTCCAAGTGAATATAGTGATTGTTCATTTAAATAAGCATCATGGTTATATTTTTTGTTGTTCATATTTACCAGCATAGGTCCAGACACAGAGTTGTCAGTATATTGAACCACAGTAGTGGTTTCATCAGACAAGTATACTAACTACTAAGAAAGAGATGGGGAAGGGGGAATAAAAGCAAGGGAGAGTCTATAATGATTGGAAATTAAACTTTGTAAAGAGAGAAGAGAGGACATCAGGGAGTGAAGAATGATGAAAAGTTGATAGGATCACTGAATTGTCCCTATGTGAAGGTGGATTGCTGAACTTGGGTTGTGTCATAAAATAAGTAAGTTGGAAAGAATAGGAGATGACAGTTGAAAAGTGGGTTCTTTGAAATCAAGATTTTCCTATTTTGGAATATTTGTTTCTCACTTTTACATTATTAAAAATATACTTATAGTTAACATCTTATATATATAGTTTTTTGGCACCTTGAATTTCCATAGCCAGTTGTAAAAAGTGGAACTATTGAATTACAAGATATTAGTATTTTTAAGATGTTTAATATGTGCTAAGTGAACTTCCTAAAGAATATTTCCAGAATATATTCTTCCATTTCACTAATACTTTGCCAACATTAAGTATTTCATTATTGCTGTCATTCTCAGTTTCATTTTTTCTTTTCTAATTTGGTAGGTCAAAAAGTCTTTTTTTTAATGTTTTTTAAAATATTTTTAAAAAATATGTATTTATTGCCCTGGCCGGTTTGGCTCAGCGGTTGGAGCGTCAGCCTGCCGTACAGAGAGACCCGGGTTCGGTTCCCGCTAAGGGCACGTGCCTCGGTTGCGGTTTGTCCCCGGCCCTGGTTGGTCATGCGGGTGGCGGCCACTCGATGTGTCCCTTCACGTCGATGTTTCTCTCTCTCTCTCTTCCTCTCTCTCCCTCCTGTTCTATCTGAACAAAAAATGGAAAAATGTCCTCGGGTGAGGATAAAAAAAAATATATATATATATATGTATTTATTGATTTTTTAGACAGGGAGAGAGAGATCCATCTGCTACCTCCTGCATGCCTCCTACTGGGGATCGAGTCCACAACCTGGGCATGTGCCCTGACTGGAATGGAACGGAGCCACATCAGTGGGGCAAAATGTTTTTTATTTTTTTTAAGTTTACATGTCTATTGGTGTTTCTCCTTGTGGTTTTCACTTAAAGGTTTAGAAAACATTCTTTTAATTAGTTCCAGAAAATGTGATTAAAAAGAAGGATGCTAAAAAATCATGAGAAATCAGGCAAGTGATAGATTTTGGTCATTAACTTTCTTATGTATCAGCAATAAACATTTCAAAAATATCTTTGAAGAAGTTTCATGTAAAGTAAAAATAAAAGCCTATCTAGAAATAACTTAAATGAAAAATAGGATAGCCCGGCTGGTGTGGTTCAGTGGTTGAGCGTCGGCCCATGCACTGGCTTGATTCTTGATCAGGGCACATGTCCAGGTTGTGGGCCCGATTCCAAGTTGGGGCATGCAGGAGGCGGCCAGTCGATGTCCTTTCTCATCGATGTTTCTCTTTCTCCTCTCCCTTGCTCTCTTTCTAAAATCAATAAAGAAAAGAAAAAAAAGAAAAAAAAAGGATAGAAACTAAGAAATAAACACTGTAAAGCTTTGCATACAGGTATTTTATTTTATCATCATTATTTTTTAATCCTCGAGGACATTTTTGCATTTATCTTTAGATAGAACGGGAGGGGGAGGGGAAGGAAGAGAGAGAGAGAGAAACATCTACGTGAGAGAGATACATCAACTGGTTGCCACCCACACGACCCCAACTGGGATCGGGGACAAACTGCAACCAAGGTATGTGCCCTTAGCGGGAATCGAACTGGGGACTCTGTGGTCCACGTGTTGACGCTCTAACTGCTGAGCCAAACTGGCCAGGGCTGCATACAGGTATTTTAAAAAGATGAAGGTAAAGACCTTAGCTGTTGTGGCTCAGTTGATTGAACGTAACCCCTTGGACTGAAAGGTCCCAGTTTGATTCCTGGTCAGGGAACATGCCCAGGTTGCGGGGCTCCATCCCCAGTGGGGGGCATTTAAGCCCATCAGTGTTTCTATCCCTCTCTCCTTTCTTCACTCTCTAAAAAACTCAATAAAAGCTTTTTTTTTTTTTTAAAGAGGTAAAGACAAAAATAACTACTGTTGTATAAACACATGAATTTTCCCATTTCCCACAAAATACACATTAACAAATCTAGTCAAATTTAATTCCTTGGAATATTCCAGAGAAATAAAAAAATCTAAAGAATTGCCCTGGCCATGCCCTGGCCGGTTTGGCTCAGCGGTTAGAGCGTCGGCCTGTGGCCCTGAGAGACCCGGGTTCGGTTCCCGCTAAGGGCATGTACCTCGGTTGCAGTTTGTCCCCGGCCCTGGTAGGTCGTGCGGGTGGCAGCTACTCAGTGTGTTCCTTTCCATCGATGTTTCTCTCTCTCTCTCTGTTCCTCTCTCTCCCTCCCACTCTACCTAAACAAAAAATGGAAAAATGTCCTCGGGTGAGGATAAAAAAAAAAGAATTGCCCTGGCCAGTTTGGCTCAGCAGTTGAGCGTTGGCCTGTGGACCAGAGAGTCCCGGTTTTGGTTCCTGCTAGGGGCATGTACCACAAAAAAACAAACAAACAAAAATCTAAAGAATAATTATAAAAAGACAAAAATAATAAAAAATATTTATGCCTAACTTTAAAAATATGAGTGATGCTCATCACTAACCAAATGTTTGATATATATTAAGCATTATGCTATCTCATTTAATTCTTTTAATATCATTGTAGGTGTTTTTACTCTTATTTTCTAGATGGGGAAATGAAGTCTAAGACATTGAATGACATACACAGGTATTAATTGTAGAGTAAGGATTAGAACCTAAATCTGCCTAACTTCAAAACCCAGTCTCTACTAATTTAGTACACTAGTAGTTAAGATTTGGGGAGGATAAACAAAACAGTATAACAGTGGTGGAAATTAGCTCTACCAGATATTAAAAGGCATTACAAAGCTATACAATTACCAAAATACTGTGATACTAGTCCAAAAAAAAAGACAAACACTTGACATTTAATAGGTAATCATGAAATAGTCTTTATTAATTGATAAAGTCGATTCTAGTTGCCAGTTCATAATGAAGTAAATATTACACAAATGAGGAATTCATGATTTATTTTAAAAGTGGTATTAAGACATTTGGGTAAATGTTTGGTGAATAATCAATTTAGATTTTTATTTATAGCAGAATTTCAAAAGATTTAAAGGGGATGGGAAAGCAAATTCAGGTTAATTTTTAAAAATTTTATTATTTTTAACATTATTTCTATTGTACAATTAATTTTATTCCCTCAATTGTCTGGTTGAACTTAACTTTCTAAATCTGTTAGGATAAACAAAATGTTATAATTTTATTTTGATGAAATATGTTGAGAATATTTTGAGAATCACATTTGTTGCTTTGACTTTCCAGACTTTAACAGCATTTAATTATTGCTTATTTGTGTAGACCACCATGATATTTTTAGTCTGTGATTACATATTTCAAATCATCTAAATATGTTTTAGTGAATAGAATAAGAAAATTCAATTTGCAGAGTACATTTGTCATAATTCTTAATATTTATTTGTTCTAATTTGTAGTCCACTTTATAAAGCACAATAACTCTTAGAGTTTTTTATTTTTTTGGTATGAGACTTTATATTCTATTTTAGTATTTACTGGCAAAATATTAGATTGAATTGACAGAAGAATTTTCTGAGGAAGACATTTTTAGCAGGAATTTAGAGGAAGAGTAGGGTTGGAAGATGGCTGGATTGAGTTGTGGAGCAAACTAGTACAAAAAGGTAAGAGGAGTTTCAAAATTAGAGTGATTACAAAATGGAGGGATAACATTTAGCAGGTTCTAAATTTATAAAGGGGATTAATATGAAATTATATTTGTGTTATATGCAAAAAGATTTTTTAAAACAGAATGTTTAAATTTAATACTTTATGACAGTAATTTGACAGGGTTTTAAGAGTCAGGCATTGAAAAATAGGTAAAGATTTAAAAAATCTGGTTATACCTTTTGAACCAGGAAAAAATGCTAGTAATTTGAGCTTTTAATGTTCTTACATTTAAAACACCTTATGATGAACAGTTCATTTGATGAAAACAGCTTATTATTTATATTTTCAGAATGTAAGAAATTTTGTAACTTGGCATATATAATGCACTATAAATTGAGATTGGTCTACTTTAAAACTGACAATTTAATATATATTCTGTGAGCATGCATTTTTCAGATTTCTTATTTTTTATTTGATAGACATTTGAATACTGTTTATGTAGATAGACTTTTTAGGAGATGAGTTAGAATCTTTTCTATCAAATAGGGATATTAAGACATAAGAAAATGTAGTATTGATTAAGAGTCATTATGTTAGGTACAGAAAAGAAGGGTTATTATGTACTGTAGCACATATTTAAATTCAACTACAGTTGAAATGATAAATGTGGTCATTTTCTTTGCCATCTATTTCTTACTCTGAATCTTAAAAAACTTGACAGGTGATAATATAACCATTTCTTAGACCCTTTTCTTATTTACAAAAGGTGGTACATTTTTAAGGACCATGATTTAGGTTTGGTTTGTTTTGTTTTTCTCTTGCAACCAATGCTTGCAACCAAACCTTTGTTTGTTTGTATGTTTCTTTTTTCTTTCTTTTTTCAGAGGTTACGCACAGAAAATAGACTTTTAAAACAACGCATTGAAACATTAGAAAAAGTAAGTAAATGACTACTTATACATGCTTCTGTTGAATACACAGTATTTTTTTCTATTTTATATTAAGGCTCAAGAAATCCAGCACATGTCTTTGAAGTTGTGGTATTGACTGCTCAGCTTGTCTAGCTTACTACTTAACTAAATAACTTGTTATTAGTAAAAATTGATCACTACTAGTTCTTGAACATTAAAGTTTTAATTTAGGTTATTATTATAGTAACATTTATTTTCTTTACTTACAATCTCTAAAATGTATGTTTTTTAGAGGTAATTTATTTGAGAATCTGTTCTGTATAGTATTTTAAAGATGAGTTTCAAATATTGCCCTGACTTTCTAGTCACATATTAAATGTGGCAATGATTCATACAAGACCTGGCTAGGATTGCTTTAAATTTAATCAAAATGACTGACTGATTTCTTATATCAAAATTCACCATGACTTTTAATACAGGGAAATCATGCTTAAATTTTTGGTTCTTAAAATTATTTTGATACCACTTGGTACCTATTCCTCTTTGTTTCATATAAAATAACCGAGAAAATGTGGAAACATTGCATTCTTTCTTATATTATGCTTTTGATATAATATCTTTTGTAGTCTTGTTTCTAATGCTATAAGAATGTATTGAGTAATAAAAGTAATAGTGTAAGACTTTTGGTTTAAAAAAATCTGAATTTACGAAGTATTTTGGTGTTTTGGGGGTTTTGTGTATTTTGTTTTTTTAAATAACTAAAGGTGAGAGAAAGTAGATTTAAAAGTACTCTTTACAATATTGCCAATTATCTTAAAATCTTCTCTGATAATCTATGGATTGACATTCAAGAAAGCAATAAATAAAAATGGAGTTTGCAAATTTGTCTTTTGTTTGAAAGTATTAATGGTTTTGTATTAAATAGCACTGAACAAGGACCAGGATGTAAATTACATGTCAGTTTTTGTTGTATGATAACTGCAGGTTCAGTACATTAAGTAAAAAATAGTTTTTCTGTATTTCCTTCATCTTATTGACATTGCTGTGATAATAATTCTTTTTGGGTAACTCTGCAATAAGGTTGAACTTAGTTGTTTTTGTTTTAATTATGCACTTTTTTCTTCACTGAATACTCAGTTTATAGTAAAATATACGTCTTAGGTGGTCTTTTATCTTTGAAGTGAGACATTTTCACAGAGAAAGCATTTCCATTTTATTGGACCTTCAGAATGATAAAGATGCTGTTAGGAAAGCACTACGCTTGGATTTTGATTCTAAAAACTAAGACCTATTTTAGATGGTCTATGTGTGTCCACTTAGAATTCTATAAATACGTATGTATCGATTAAAATATGCAACCAAAAAGTTTAATGTTATTGCTAGAGTGTATTATATTGAGCTCATTAATTTCTTGCTTTGTGTCTTTGGAAGTTGGGGTTGCACAAATTGCTGTCACACTTTGCAAGTGGAATTGCTTACTCAAATTCCTTCTCCCTTTCATATAGTGGTTTGACAATATGGCTAACTCTAAAAATAAAGATTTAAAAGTATGCTTTAAAAAAAAGATATTTGCTCGTCACAAATAATGAAAAACCTCTTGGAATTTGTGTTTAGTCTCTTGTGGAAGCACGTGATTTTCTGCAGTCTATTCTTATTTTAATATATATTTTCAAGGTTTAAGAATCAAAACACACTCAGTAAAAATAGTTTTAAAATCTACATGTCTGCTTTAATTACATGAAAAGTAGGTGGAATTTGGGTATGCATTGTTTCTTCTTATCCCTAATTTTATCATCTTTATTTTATTTCTTTCTCTTACATTTCTATCTGAATTTTTCCTTTTGTAGGAAAGTGCTTCCTTGGCAGATAGATTGATACAGGTATAGTGTTTTGTTGTTGTTGTTTTAAGCACTTTCTCTAACTTCTAAGGAAAGTCTTCAATCTAGAAATTTATATTTTAATGCATGCAATTTTACATGCATTTTCCCCAAAGTAATTTTTAGGTGGTATATATGGGTGTAAAATTATTTTTGATAATAGGGTGTTATCTTGGTTTATTAAAATAAGCACCTTTTGCACGTTTTAAAGCTAACCTTATTTTAAAGTATTACAAAATGGCAATCAGTGGATTGTATGAAATTAACTACTTATTCATTAAAATTTTAGTCCTGCATGTACAGTTCAATAATACTGCATGAATTGAATTTTTATTGACTGAAAGAAGAATTGTTCTTAAGATCTTTAGATGAATTTTTTATTTAGTTCCCCAAAATTTGCTGAAGCAATAATGAGCTGCTGGCTAACAATTGCTTAGGCTGTTCTGTTCTCTGAGGTGATTTTTTAAAAAATATGTCAAAGTAAATAACTAAACCTCACAAAGACAGTCTTTCTTGACTCTATCCTAAATTGCTTTACACACACAAAAATTATGTCCTAAGGGACAAGTGACAAGAGCCCAGGAGGCTGAGGAAAACTACCTCATAAAACGGGAACTGGCCACCATCAAACAGCAGAGTGATGAGGCCAGTGCTAAGCTGGAGCAGGCTGAAAATACCATCAGGAAGCTCCAGCACCAACAGCAATGGGTAAGGAGTCTGGGGGTACTTTTTCTCACCTTTCTCATCCCCTTTCCTTTAAACCTTTTTTAAAGCACAACTTCTGTGCTCTTGTTATAAATAATTTGGTTTTCTACTTTCAAGTCTTAGTCATTTTTATGTTCTGTAATATTTAGTGTGGTCTTATTGTGGCCTAAAGACTCCTTGGTCTAACATTATTTTCTGTCTACACAGTTTTGTTAGAAATAGATAATATTTTTATTTCTTTCATTATGTTCTCAGTCATAGAAAATAAGTGATGTATGTCAGACCTGCTTTTCAGGTTTTAGAAATGTTTCATAATGGGTATTTTGCCATGGGTAATTTTTAAATCATAACTTCAGCTAGTTTTTGTTAATGGTGCAGATAAAATATTATTTAGTGTAGAATATATATATATATATATATAATTATCTCACTTAAAGTTTTGGTGATTTATGTCTTATGAAATACTATAGCCTTAACTTTGTACATCAAGACATTAAATTATGGATTAAGGTATATGCTTATATTTTTTTTAAAAGAGAAGTTATCAGAGTAAAAAAGAATGAACTTACAAAGATAATGTTAACTTAGGATAATAAACAGCTATTGATTGTACAGCTGTCCTCAGCTATCTTTTGCCACTTAGACTTCATTTTCCATTGGCAAATTCAGGCTTAGTGTGATCTTAATCAAGAATATGAAAGTTTAAAAGAAAAGTTAACTATTAATCTTTGAAAAGATATTTCTTGTTTCAGTTTTCTGTTTTCAAGTAGGAGTTGGACAGTAACAGGGTAGGCATAAAAAAGTTGTGTTAAACCTAGAACTCTATATGGATCAGGAAGCAAAAACCAGAATAACTTCAAAGTAGACATTACTTTTATTTAGTAAAATTAAGAGACAACATCATCTAGGTACAAAAATCATAACTAGAAACCAAAAAAAAATTGATACTTGAAGAAAATATCAATTAATTATTTTCTATTATATTATGAAAGATGGTTAAGAAAAATGAATAAGAGAGTGGTAAAGAATGCTCAAAAGGGCCCCACCAGTGTGGCTCTGTGGATTGAGTGTCATCCCATGGACTGAGAGGTCTTGGATTGACTCCCGGTGAGGGGCACATGCCCAGGATACAGGCTCCATCTCCAGTAAGGGACGTGAGGGAGGCAACCGATTGATGTTTCTATCTCTCTTTCTCTCTCTAAAAAAATCAATAAAGCCCTGGCTGGTTTGGCGCAGCGGTTAGAGCGTCAACCTGCGGTCCAGAGAGACCTGGGTTCGGTTCCTGCTAAGGGCACGTGCCTTGGTTGCAGTTTGTCCCCGGTCCTGGTTGGTTGTGCGGGTGGCGGCCACTTGATGTGTCCCTTTCACATCGATGTTTCTGTCTCTCTCTCTCCCTCCCTCCCACTCTACCTGAACAAAAAATGGAAAGGTGTCCTCAGGTGAGGATAAAAAAACAAAATCAATAAAAACATATTTTTTAAAAAAAAAGAATACTCAGAAGATAGGAACTCAAATATTTTGTTCTGCCTTTGTATGAAATGCCAATAATACAAAAGCATAGCCCTGACCGGTTTGTCTCAGCAGTAGAGTGTTGGCCCGTGGACCAAAAAGTTGCAGGTTTGAGTTTGGTCAAGCAAGGCCCTGTACCTTGGTTGCAGTTAGTCCCTGACACTGATGGGGGCATGCAGGAGGCAGCCAGTTGATGTGTCTCTCTCACATCAATGCTTCTCTCTCTTTCTCCCTCTCACTTTATCTGAAGATAAATAGAAAAATATCCTCAGGTGAGGATTTAAAAAAATGATATAAAAGCATAAAAATAGAAAAAGCAGAATTGGGGGACAATGTTAGGAATTAAGCTGAACTGAGTTTTATCAGGGTAGTGTGATTTTGTTATAAGTATTATAACATTTAGCACAAGTTAGTCATATACATTAGAATCATGAATCACTAGTTTATTGTATTGTTTTTTAAATATTGAGATTTCTATGTAGAAAATATAGAATGTTGGTTCATAATGAAAAAGTCAAGTGGACAAGCAAAAATGGCCAGAATAAACTGAAGCTTTTGAAAATTAAGTGAAACAAAAAGAATCTTTGTGCTTTTTTTTTTCAAGGACAAGAGAGACCCACAATGTGAGGCTAAGATATAACAAGGAGGAAACAGATCCCTACTTCAATTTTGTTTTCATTTTTTTTTTCTCACTGAAGCATTCTCCTTTGGAATAAACTGTAACACAGACATATAAAGCAGAGATGTACAAAATAGGTGAAGGTAACAGAGCCTTGATTAAATTTACAATTTTAAAGCAAAGTACATATCCCTAGATGTTAAAACAATTTGCAAATGATCATAGAAATATTATTGTCTTTAAAGGATTTTAGAAAATAAGAGATACTAAAGGCTTTAGGGTTGACAGATACAGTAATAGTTAGAGATCTGAAAAGAGGATCAGTGACCTTGATGGTTTATTAAAAATTCTTAGAAGGTCTGGTTTGTGAGCAATTAGAAAGATAACTTTTACTCACTAAAAAGTTTACTTAAGTTTTTTAAGTAAACTTTAAAAAGCCAGTTTACTATGTTTAAGTCATGATGAAGTAACTTTGTTTCTGTAATAAGCAAAAATTATGTCATAAGTGCAATTTTACAAGTTGTTTGGTATGCTCTCATATCTTTCTAGTCAAGTAGGGATAGGTAAAAGTAGTAAACTTAAGTGGTTTTATAGCTGATTAACTATATCCAGAGGCTATTCATGAATGTTGACATAACAGAAGTCATTGCCTCTTAAAGCTGTGCCTCAAGTATTTTTTTTTTTATCCTCACCTGAGGACATTTTTCCATTTTTTGTTCAGATAGAGTGGGAGGAAGAGAGAGAGGAAGAGAGACAGAGAGAGAAACATCGACAGGGACACGTTGAGTGGCTGCCACCTGCACGACCAACCAGGGTTGGGGACAAACCGCAACCGAGGCACGTGCCCTTAGCGGGAACCGAACCTGGGTCTCTCTGGACCGCAGACCAATGCTCTAACCGCTGAGCCAAACTGGCTAGGGCCTGTGCCTCAAGTATTTTAATCTATTATTTCATCTTCATATGTGAGATATGTTTCAGAATTGTATAGAAGAAATATTTCAAAAATGTAGCTAATATATTGGATGATGAATCAGGATCCTAAAATATTAAGCAAGCTATTCAAAATAAGAAACTAAAATAAAAGATTATTTCACAGAAATAAGTAATGCTTTATATGTCAAAGACCTAACGTGATTTGGGAGGATGTGATGTTTGGATAGGCTAGCTTCATTAATGTGCCAGAGTAGAGTAGATGGGTTTTTTTGTTTGTTTGTTTTTATGTTCTTCTACCTAGGAATAAGGTTGTTCACAGAATCTCAGTGAATCTGAAGTGGTCTCAGTTATAAAAGTTAGGAGGAACAGAGGCCAAGTAGACAGTTATATGAGTGTTGTTAATGTAGATAGCATAATAGCTGATGAGGATAATTTTCTACCCTCAGTGAATTTCTAGGAGTGAAGGATGAAGGTGGTCTGCCGGTAACTGTTGGACACAAGATACTAATTGCACTGAGAGGAAAATTGTAAAACGATGAAACAGGTGTACCATGTAAACACTAAACAAAAAAAAGCTAGAGTTTCTGTATTAATGTCAGATAAAGTAGACTTCAAAACAAGGAACAGTTTCAGGAAAAAGAGGGACATTTTGTGATAGTAATAGGGTCACTTCACCAAGAAGATGTAACAATCTAATTTAGAATTGTATGTATTTAGGAATATATGTTTCCAAACATATCTGTTCCTAATAGAGGAGCGTGAAGCTGAACTAATAGAACTGAAAGGTGAAGTGGACAAATCCACAGTTGCAGTTGGAATCTTAATACCCCTTTCTCAGTAATTGATGAAACAAGGAGGTAGAAAATCAATATAGATATAGAAGATCTAGACAGTGTTGTCAACCAACTTGACCTTCTTGGTATTTTTGGAACACTTTACCAGAATACATATTTAGCACAATACTTACTCTTTTTAAACCCACGTGGAACATTTACAAAGATAGGACATATTCTGGGCCATAAAATAAACAAAATTTTCTTAAGTACTTGAAGAAGATACAGAGTCTCTTCTTTGACTCATAACAGCATTCAATTAGAAATTAATAATTTATATCTGGAAATTAAACAACATTTTTATCTATTGTCAAAGAGAAAATTTCAAAGGAAATTAGAATGTATTTTGAATTAAATGAAAATGAAGACACAACTTTATCAAAATTTGTGGGATTACCTAAAGCAGCACTTAGTAGAAAATTTATAGCATTGAATGCTTATATTAGGAAAGGAAATAAGTTTCAAACCAATCATCTAAGCTTTTACGTTAAGAAACTAGACGTATAAGAGCAAATTCAACCTAGAGCAAATTCAACCTAAAGCAAATAGAAGGATGAAATAATTAAAAGAGTAAAAATCAATGAAATTAAAACAATATAAAACAAAAATAGAGAAGATCTTTGAAAAGCGGATTCTTTGAAATGATCAGTGAAGTTAATAAACTTCCATCTAGACTGACTTAAAGAGAGGAGAAATAACCAGTGTCAGGGATGACGACTTATTACATATGCAGCCAAGTTTTCTTGTCTGATATTCTGAATTCGTCTGATTGTTTCCTCATGGTGTCATATTTTCTATAAACTAGATTCAGTTAAACATTTTAAACATTTAGATGATAGATAATGTTATGAACTTTATTTTGCTTTAAATCAGGAAGCACATAATATAGGTTGTTCTTACTAGTGATGCTGAGTTTGATTACCATGCTAACTTTGGTTCCCATAGACTTGTAAAAATATGGTTTCTTCTTTGCAACTATTAAGTAATCTATTGAGAAATATTTTTGTGCCAAGTAAATATCTTGTCCTCTATTCACTGACCTTTTACCTAATAGTTTTAGCATCCACTAATTGGATTTCAAAAATGGTGATTTTTATATTTTCTCATTT